ATATATAAAATCACATTATGTATATATTCACATATTCATATATATAAATATGTGAATTTATATAAATAAATTATACAGAGATATTATACATCTAGCTTGCGCGGACTCTGTAATAGGAAAGGAGAAGAGAGAAAAAAAAAAGCGCGCTTAAAAAAAAATCGAAAATATGTTGCTTAAAACTTCACTTTCAGTTTATACACGCTTTTTCTAGTTCGCGTCTTGCATAGTTCGTGGGTTGTTATCCACAGCGATAACACTGAACGAGTAAAACGAATGCGACGTGTAAGACGCGCGACGCAGCAGATTGTGGTACTATAAATAAATGTTCATAGTGATTCATTGCACTCTACGGAGCTGGCGCAACGGAAGTGAATCGATCTGATTGTATTCTCAAGACTTCTCTTTACGTCCGAGGCAATTCTAACATAAACTCGTACCCTCCGCGAGCAGCGCAGAGGGAGAGAACCGTCGATCCGAAGACAATGTCGAACAACAATTCGATATTCCAGTTATTCAAAAACCGCCGTTACTATTCGTTGCCTCCTTAAAATTCGACAAAAAATAGAATTCTAAATTTTTATGCAAAATTCTACATTGAAATACTCGGAATAACTCGTAATCTCTCCACGAATCGTGCCGAACGTGAATTTATTTTCCGGCAAATACGAGTGTCATCCGGCAACACTCGCACTCGCACTCGGCACTCACGGTATATCTTCGTGAATCGTTCCCAACGAGGGTTGAGAACAGATCTTGGGTAAGACTTGTTGAAGCTCGAACGCACGGATCACGACTGACAGCCATGAAGACTTCATGGAGAAGCTCTATTGCCGGTTAGAACACGACGTGAGAACGGAGGGGGAGAGATCGTTCGCGGCATTGGTCTCAGCGTAGCTGCTGGTTCCCTCTCTCGTATTCTCCCCTTTTTCTTGCAACTTTCTTTGACAACGAGACGATGGAAGAAAGAAGCATATGTAATTTCAGAATATTAAATACGTTCTCAAAAAGCTTATTATAAAGTAAAATTATTACTTACACGTTTCTTACGATTTAAAATTCTCTCGCTCTCTTTCTTCCCCTCTGAGATTCGTTTTAACAATCCCTCTCGATAATTTATTTTTTTATATTGTTTTAATTTTACATCAATCATTTTTATCATTCTCAAAAGTTATACAAACATCTCTCAAATATCTTCATGGCTTAATGTCAGTGATGGCTTAATTGTTATTTTGAAAATAATTTTGAAAATTTATGTTATACAGATGCAATGATTGACAAAAAAAGTGTTGCATCAAACACAATGAAGATACTGGAAGAATACATTTCCTTCGAAGGTCAACTTATAAGTTCCTTACCTATAAGTTCCTTTGCTCTGTGGACTCTCATACTCGATACGTCTGCGCTTATGCTCGTATTGTGGGGAACCTACAGAATGTGAACGTGTTCTCGAGTGGCTACGAGAGCGGTGACGCCTCCTGCTTCGTGGCATCTGTAACACAAAGAAAATACTTTTATTCATAAACCCGTACAAAAACATTATACCGTTCTACCAATAAATTATCTGAAGTATACTCTACATTTTACAATCGCATTTAAAATTAGAGAAAATTAGAGGGTATATTTAAAGATAGAAAAAATTTAACCTAGAAAAAAGCGTCAAATGTATAAATAAGAATATCACTTATTTACACATAAATCATCCGTAACGTTTATTGCTATTTTTTTTTTTGCATGGAGTTCTGATATAGATTCAGATTTAAATACAATGTATTAACGTTCTTTTAAAAACATTATACAACTTTATACAAAGAGGTAATCAATACAATAGATTATTCCGGCAAGATTATTTCTACCTGCTTTCCATTAAAGTCTCTCCATGAAGTGAAACGGTATAGGACAGGCAGTGTAGATAGAGATAAAAAAAAGAAACGATTGCGATAATACAAGCAAAACTAGTAATTTTAATGTTGCCGCTTGTCAGAGATTGCTCTCATGTTATTTATATGATACTTTCTATACTCTCGCAGAGCATCTTTACGTTCGCTCCATTTAAGTGCAGAAAATATAAGAAGCTTATGAGTGAAGAAAGGATCGATATTTTTTCTCTTGTCCAAAGATAACAGTGCTACTAAGCTAATTTGTCCAATTTTCATTTTTCTGCCCATATTACAGGCAAGAAAATAGAATAAATTTAGAACAAGATCTTTAAATGTTCCAATCTAGACATTTAATGTACTCAATCAATTTAAAAATCATTTTTGAGCCATTCTGATCTCAATGCCATTTCTTGCTTCCTCAATTTTTACCACTATTGTTGTAACACCGTGCAAAGAGTCAATTTAAATCATTTCTTCAACAGAATCTAAAAAAATAGAAAAAAAAAAAAATATATTTAGATTTTTAAGGCAAAGGTAAGACGCAATATAGAGAAGATGTAAAATGTGGATAAGTCCATAAGTTCCGGGGAAAACTTTCTGGAAACAGAATAATCTCTTTAAAAACATTTAATATTTCTAACAATCGCGTATTAACAATTTCCAAGAGAGACGCTCTACATGTTACAGCTATTGTTAATCTAGAAAGTGAATTGGTTAATCCCACGCCGTTGGTGTAACCGAGCTAAACTCATCATGCACGTGATTGCGATTTATGAGCATGAGGTGCGACATGATACGAAGGTAGGATACGCTCGATACGAATCGACAAGTCGCGAGTCGTACGCGGGCGCAAGAGGTGTCGCAAAGTTTCAAAAGGCAATAGGGAAAATACGATACGCGGCAGTTTACGCGTGGCACACGGACGCCGTACGAGAGGAGCCGTCGAGAAAGGGAGCCGAGAACCGGAGTCTTTTATTGCCGGAGCCATTATTGCGTGTACTTACGTTGGAGAGGCGGAACAGGCTCACTTGATCCCAAATGAAATCGAAGACGGACGATATCCAGGAGCGTGAGGATGACGCTTGCGGTACGACACTGTTTTTCGACAACCACGTGGACATCGGCTCAAAAAATTCTGCAAAACGTGGGCAGTCGCATTCGTGAGAGCGTCACAGAGACATCCGCTGCTACGGATTAGCCCACTCCGCGAAAAAGAGTACGAGGAGAGGGGAAGGGGATGGGGGGGGAGGGGCGGGTGAAGAGGGGAAGACGAGAGAAAAACGAGGAGAGGGGAGGATGGATGGAAAAAACGAGGAGAGATCGGCGTGAGATAACGAGACGAGCGGCGTCCCTCTCCTCTCTTTCTATCTGAAAAGATCTGCGCATTTCTCTATTGCGTCACACCTTGCAGATGTCGAGGCTCGAATCGCGCGCGTATTCACGACGGGTTCCGGGCGCGTTCCGGAAGATCCCGCCAAAACGGACGCGTACGCGACCGGAAATCATCGTTCGCGATGACGAGAGAGAGGGAAGATGATGACGTGAGAAGGCGTGCGGCAATGCGGGCGACAATGCGGGCGAAAAAATTGGGTTAGTGCCGTGGGCGCGCGTGGCTTCGCCGCTGCTGGGGGGATCGATGATGGCGCATCGCGCCTCGAGGAGGCATCTTGGGCGCCGTCGGGAACGGCGATCGCGGGCGCGAATGAATTGTACGTGGATGGATCCCGACGACATGCGACGACGTTATGGACAAGCGGCGACTGGCGCGCGCCCGTCGGCCGACGATCGGGCGGCTTTGAAGCGAGCGAAAGCGTGCGGGATATTGCGTGAGGAGGACACAGACGGTACACCATAAGGGGGGAACCATCGAAGCCGGCCATCTTGGAATTACAGAGTGCACCAGAAGCGCGATGCAGCAAACACGAAACATATCCCAGTCGAATATCACACGTAGGTTCGTTAGCCACGTCACGAGCTATGATGCGGGGTTACGTTATGGAGTTGTGGACTTACGTCGGATAGGCAGAATAGGCTCGCTTGGTCCCAGAATTGAACCTACTAAACACAAGAATGTCCAAGAGCACCGACAGTATGCGACGTACGACAGTGTTGTGTGACAACGACGTGGGACCTTGGATCAATGCGATTGGCGAGACCTCTCCGGCTCGACTCGGCGACTGTCGGCGAGCCAGGGACGGCTTTATCGATCCCCGGCTCCTCCACAGGGAGGATTCCATACGAATGTACAAAATTTAATAACTTGAATTGCCTACGATATCCACATGTCGACGATGCGAGTGTCCAACGCACACTCCATGGATTATAAATCTATTTATAAAAGCTTTACAAAATCGTAACAAATTGTAACATATAATTTACGAACGAAGCTTACTGAAGCAGAAATCTAAAATTATTAATAGACCATAGAAGTTCGAAAGACTTTACAAAAAAAATCGTTTTCCGATGATTTCATCATGAAATAAAAAGAGATTTCGCGCGTGATAAAAGTAATATAAAATTATAGATTGTCTTTAAAATGTTACAAACTCGCAGGTTCTGATGATCAATATTAATCCTTAAAAAAAAATGAATAATTTTTTAGTAATAATTTCTTCAAACAATAAGTTCTCCTTAATATTTCCTCGACTCTATTGTTTATGAATGCTTCGATTGTATCTATCAATAAATCACTCCTACAGATGGGCCGTCCCTGCGATTAGTCGATGACGCACGAATCAAGGCGAGTGTACACGAAATCAAAGTACTCCAGAATATTAGAAGTTCCGAGGATAAAAGAAAAGTTTTACCTATACGCATCATGTACTACGGAATGTTTCGATTGATGTAACATCGTAATAGAATTTCTATTGTCGATACATTTATCATATTAATCTCAAAATTTACATTTCTCTGAATAATTTCCGACATTTCAGCAGACTCCGTAAAGGAGTCGTTATTGATAAACGTGACCTTTACCTCCTATATTACTTCTTCATTCTGATAGTGTCTCCAACTTTTTAATAATCATCAAAAAAGGTTGAAAACATTCGAGAGTCTATAAAATAGGTAATCCAACTATGGTTTTATTGAAAGAATATTATATAACGTTCACTATCTTTTGCAGATAACGTTAGTCACAACGATATACGATTATCCGTGGCGATTACAAGAAAACTTCAAAAAATGTTTGAAAGTTGAAGAAAATATGCACGTGGACGTGTTTAGACATATTTTTAAATTATCATCCAATGGAAGTTTTAGGAATAACTAATTCACGTACATGCATAGAATAATTATTAATAAATGATACGTATGTATAATTATACATATATATTATATATGTATATATATAACATCGACTAAAAATTCTAGCAAACGCATGTTACATTTAATCCACACCGACAGTTTTGCACATCGATCGTAGAAATTTTGCGTACCTGTCTCCAAACATATTTCCGAGTTAACCAGATAATGCCTTTCTTCAGCAGACGCTCTATCACATGCCAGATCATAGTCGACTTTAGCGAGGAATCGCGAATAAACGAAGGATGTTTCGTCGAGAGACGCGGGCATGTAAACATATACGACACCTCGACGAGGCACACATGGAAACGAACGAGACCAGACCGATAACTGATGGGGACAGCCCTCGTAGGTGGCACCACACCGCGAGTGTTGTCTGAACAAGAGCTGTCGTTGTTATCATTCTTTTTTTTCAGTCCCGCAACAGCCAACAATAGCCACTCGAGGGTATCGAGGAGCTGCGCGAGTACGCGGGATGATGAAAGAATACGCTGAAATGATTCCGAAAGTAGACGCTTAATGACAACTTCGGACGGATTGCGCGATACTCGGTGCGATTCGAAAGAATTGCAAAACGCACGATGCTGTGCAAAAAAATCATTTCATATGAAAAAATTCGCCGTTTTTGCTCTCGCGATTACACTCATAAAATTAAAAACCGACAGCGAGAGCTGCGCTCTTATTGCTACATTAGGTCACCCTTTTCTTTTTTTTACCTGAGTCATCATGTCAAGCGAAATGAACTTTGACCGATCATGGGAGAAGTAATTTGTCGTTGTCGCAACAGCATTTTCCGGAATCGTCCACAGTTCCCCGCAGGTGCGCTGCAGCAAATAAAAAGTTTAAACTTAGAATTAGACGACGAGAATATTGCACGGTGAGCACTTTGGACATCGCGATTGAAGTTTACATCTTGCAACAAGTGGAGAACACCGCGTATCTTCAATCAAGTCCAGTTGACAGTTGCTTCTAAAGACACGCGGATCCGTATTCTCAATTCACTTTTAATAAATAAAAGTAAATTGAGAATACGGATTATGAATTTTCTAAACAAAAATCTCCAAGAAGAGATATATATATTAATTTTCGTGCAAATTTATCGGAATCTTTCTCTGGCCGTTAAATCGTATCGCGAGACAACAATAACAAATTAAGAAAACAAAAAATACTTTAGAATACGCTATGATCTCGCTGTTGGCGCGTTTATAGAGAAAATTTACACATAATTACAAAGGGCTTAGTCCTCATCGATACCTAATGCGAACTGATCGCCTCGCGTACGAGACCACGTGACACGCGTGGACTTGACCGGTACGCAGCAGCTCACGCGCGTACGTCGTAGAAAACGACGACCGCAATCGATCGAATTACATTGACAATCTGGGACAATTAATTGAATCCTCGGCGGATCTCACTCGCCGCTAATTTCTAAACCCCCAATAATGACGATAGTGGAGGAGGCTCCACTAAGGGGTTAAATTTGACGAAGATGACGTCGTGACCCCAGAAGGGGTGACCAGACGTGCGTGGGCTACCTGCACAGCGAGACACGGACGACTGACACGATCGAACCAATTTGTCGAACGATGGGATATGCCGCGAACACCCCTCGGGGACAGTCTAAGAAGGGAACGCAACGCGGTACTTGCACACATCTTAATCACGCGCGTGACACTTACCAAAAGTACTTGCTGTAGATAGTGCACCCCGTCGTCGGGTTGCGCTTGCGCCGTCGCGGTGGAGCTCGCCCCGAATACGACATGCGGACATTTCGGTGTCGGGTGAAGGTCGACACCAGGTGGCCCGTCGGGAATTTTGGTATCCATCGCTCGAATCGTTCCAAGCCCTAAAACGGTCTTTATGCGCCGGGAGGGTGAGAGAGGGTGGAACAATGGAAATGTGTCCGTCATATACGCGAGACGTTGCGCCGCGCTACGCTCTCGCTACGATCGAAAGATTATTCTAGATTACGATGGGCTTACAGATCGGAATGCATCTGTGGACCGGAACGTGTCCTCGACGGCAGCAGTCGCGAAAAGTCGCCGGCGAAGACCTGAGTCGCGTTCCCGTCGCTCTTTCGGATTTTGAGTGACCCTGACGTATGTCGCTCTCGATGCGAAAACAAATCATGATCGACTTACAGAGTCTTTATATCGACAAATTCGGTTGGTTGATTGTAATCAAATTAATTAAGATGCGCATTGAAGGTACATCACATAAATAAGTTGGCGCAAAAGAATATTCTTACCACAAACGTTGCACGACGATTGCGTACGATTTTCAGAGATTATTCTTCTTCCTCGATGAAGTATTTTCTTAGAATGTGATTCCAATTTTTAATATGAACCAATGTCAAATCTTTTTTCTTTTAGGATAAATTTCCATTCTTATTGAAACAAAATATCGCGACTTTTATACGAATTTTCGTTAATGGCGAAGTTATTTTTCAGTTTATTTCCAATATGTTTTATTCTTAGCACGATAGTTTTAATGCGACTCAATCGCAAGGACGAAACGATGCAAGTCGATAAACGCTTGAAATAGTATGTATATTTTGCATAATGTATAACTTGAGCAGTGGGCAGAAAAGACGACATTCAGCATAGCATATTAAGTCAAAAACATCCAGCGAACATCGAAATTGTGTCAATGGGTCACGCGTGGAAAATCTACGGAACGTTCAGGGGTTGGACGCTAACCAATGTCACGCTGAAAATTTCTAATAAATGTTTAAGGCATAATCATATCAATTTTATCAATTTAAAAGATTATCATTAAAAAATATATAATTTTTATACCTTAATTAATTATTTATGTAATCATGGAAATCCAGTTATGTTGCAAAATAGATAAATAAATAGA